AAGAAGTTCTGCGCATCCTCAAAAACAGCACGAGTAGTTTGGATAAAGCCTACATAAAGTAAGCAATGCCTCAAGGAGGCAGGAACGACACTGCTTGGTTCGCGGAGGTGTGAACAGTGTGAACCAAGAGGACGGTGTGTTTCATGATTTCCTGTCAAGTTTTTCTCAAGCTTCAATCATTTGATGGATGTCCACCTGCCTAGACATCGCACTTTGAGCTCACCGGATTCTAAGCCTAAAGAAACATTCGCAACGACTGCCCGATGCTCAGACACACCAGCCAGCTGTGCCGGGTTGGGAACAAGCGCCACCTCAAGCCTCCACTGTCTTTACTTGCAAAAGTAATTTGGAAGAGGTTGAAGGGGAAGTGACGCGGATCAGGGCGAGCGAAAACGAAAGCGATGCAAGAAAAGCGGAGAGATAGACCGAGACACTTGATGTATCCAAGCGGTTAAGGTTCTCATCGTGCATGCGAGCGGGCACCTCTGCCTAAGGATGAAGCAAGCATTCTGGCGCCGGAGAGAGCAATCTTGGCTATGGGTAGTTGGGAGTGTGCTTGCAGCTGTCGATGTCGCGACATGGGAACAGACTGACGGCAAAAGACTCGGGGGCTTCGACAAACCGCGGCCCCGAGGGAGGGAAGGAAGGAGGCAAGGAAGGGATGGAGGGAAGGACGTGGGCAGGAAGGAAGGAAGAAAGGAAGGCAGGAAGGAGTTTGGACACAAGAAAGAGAACGAGAGAAACAACGAAAACCAAAGAAAGAAAGGACATAGGACAGAACGAGGGACAGGCAGAATGAAAGCCAGAAGCAACGTGACAGAAGAACAAGACAGAGAGACTAAGAGCCAGGCGTGCTCCAACTTTCGCCAGAAGGGAAGAAAGAGAAGAGAGCCAGCGAGGAAGAGATAACGAGAGAGAAGCCAGCGAGACCCACATGCCAGTGTGCGACGTCGCGCAACGGTAGGGTCGTTGGCCCAATGTGTCTGTGATGGTGAATCCAGTAGCGGAGAAGCAGTCGAAAAGCGGCCAGTGTGCATGTTGTTCGGACCGCCCTGTGCGGAGAATGCAGAACCAACTGAGACATCTCTCCTTTCCGGTTTTCTCTAATGGCCTCATAGCACGGGGCAGGCAAGACAGGAAAAAAGAGAGAGAGCGAGAGATAGGGAGAGAGCCAGAGAGGAGGGGGGAAGGGAACGGTACGAAGGCGGCCGGTCGCGGGCGGCTCACGGCCCGAAAGCAGATCAGCAATGAGGCAACGAGCGAGATAAAGGCCCGTGCTCTGGGAGCACAGGTCACAGGAGCAAAAAGCACGGGGGGGGGGCAGCAATTCACGGCCAGGTGGAGGGTGCTGGTTGCGGCACTGAGGGGTCCAGCCCGTGGCTTGCAAGACTCCGCCGCTTGACGCGTTGCCGCTGAGCAACACCATTGATTAGCGGCTCGCAGATGCTCCCATGTGCATTCAGACGGGATTGCCTTTCTGTGTTGGGCCACAAGAAGCCTTTGCCTTCAGATGCTGCCACAACGGCCCCATGCATGCGCAAACATGTATCTCCATCGTGACCATGTCGCGGAAGTTGTCTGCGGCAACCTTGTACAGCTTGGAGTTTCCAAATTCGCGCTGAATTCATGCATGCAGCATAACCGCCACGAGACCACAGTTTGGCTCTCCAAATTATCTGGACTCTTTGGAAGTTGGGATGCTAGAGGATTTTGGTGCAGTATGATGCGAGACCATCACGCGGTTGTGGGTAATTCGTCACACTTGCAATCGGCATTGACATCGTCTTTGTGACGTCACTGCCGCTTTCTTAGATTCACAGATTTCAAGTTAGCTGCCCACCGTTTTGTTTTGCTGCGATTCCTTCCTCAGTCTGGCAGCATCAAAAGCGCGCGGTGCCACATGCATGCTTCTGCCGCAGGACACCGCGCTGCATGTCCGAACTCCTGGTTTTGAGAGACATGAGTATGGCATGGGACGGTGAAGGGCAAGTGAACTGAGATGCCGTGTGCACCTTGTCGGTTCATGTCGTGGTAGCTTCGGTCCTAGATCGGGCTAATCTTGTCGCAGTGCCTTTGTTGCTGTTGCGAGACTTGCCTAGAACTGCGCAGCCCGACGCCAATAGCAGGTAAAGTGTGTGCACGTCAACGGGCTACTTCACTGCTCACCCATGCAAAACAAAGTCGCTGCCAAAGAGTTGCGTTGTGAAGTTGTGATGCGAGTCCTGATCACCGTTGGCTGGCTTTGTTCACATTCCTTCTCTAGTTTCATCGGGGATGAGCTTCATGAGCTTCACGATCTGGGCAGTCGACTTGCAGCACTCGAGCACTCCTCCATCTCTCGCTCTCTCTACGGGCTTTGTGCCAAGCTGGAGTTGCTGAAAATCGGGGTTCCCTGCTTTCTACCAGGTGCTCCTGTCGAGAGACCAAGTCGCACACCTCAGATTCAGATCGAAGTCCGCTTCAAGCGCCCGTTCCACCTTGCGGCCACAGCGATGTTTAGTGACCTGTCGGCCCGCTCCCTGCCTGAGGATTTCTTCGACGATGTCATGCTACTTATCCATCATTAGGATACCTCACTCTTACATTGCCTTACAACACAAGCCGATTTCAGAGAAGCCCCAATGCGGAGAAGTGAGTTTGCCAAGCAATCGCTACAAAACTGAACTTAGAATGAAGCGATAAGCAGCGAATCCCAATCCCAAAATGCTTTTTAGGGATGTACTGGAAAATTCCAGTATTCCCAATATAGAAACCTTGGCAAGGGCGGTTGTCCAGATACCGGCCCCGCTTGAAGGCTTGCCGAAATCGAAGCTGGGTGTTGAGTTATCCTTGCGTGGCTATGTCCAGTTAAGAAGCATCGAAGGCATCCAAAAAGTCCGAAATTATCCCACACGATTAAATCCTCAAAACTTGTCCAAGTCCTCCAAAAGGATTGACTTGATTCAAACATTAAGGGAGGAGCTGAAGGGAGAAGCTTAAGACATCTTAGACTCTTAGAAGAATCTCTTAGACTGTTTAGACAATTGAAACGGATATGCAGTTAGACAGTGTAAGAAAGAACCCAGATTCACACCCACAGTTTTTAGAGGTTTCGACGAGTACATGCAGGTAAGATGGCCCATCAAGGAGAAGGAAATTTTGAGCAAGCTATGTGAACAGTCTCAGCCCTCCAAAGGATTGTCGTGAATCGGCAGGGCGTTTTGATAGTTTAGACGACGGTTCAGACAATTTTGAATGAGGTCTTTCGATTGTTTGTGCGAAGAGGTCAGGGTTAGATGAAGTCAATCGGGTGCAGCGACAGCTTAAGAAGCTCTGTTCGTTGGTGAGCAGACCCTTTGTTTCTTCATTTTGAAATAGCTGCAGGACTTGGAGGTAACCTGGGTTTCTAAGTCCACCCAGATTTCTTGATGTCAAAGGGTTCCAAAATCAGCCAATGAGGCTTGTACTAAATCTACCGCGCATGGGCAGTTGCGGGAAGAAGGCTTAATAACGCCTGATGAAGCCCGTGTCAAGCCTCTTGTTATGCACCACCGGAACCCCCCCAAACCCCCCAAAAAAAGAGTTCCCGCCGCTCAATGCTTAATTTCAAGAAATCGAGTTCCTCGATTTCTTGTTTTGGTTAAATAAGAACTCGGGTGACTGAAGGGATTCTGGCAGAATCGGTCTCCATGTTTGGACTTTGACGCAGACAGAAATAGCTCAGTGGGTAGGCGTACGGTCACCTGGCAAACAAGGGCCAGGCTCGACTCCGCGGGTGTCTTTCCATCCCTGAGCTACCAAATCCAGCCCCTCAGTTCCTAGATTCGGTGCGAGCCAATAAACAAACAAATTCAGATTGAGAGGAACAACACAGCAAGATGGCGAGGTCAGGGTATTCTGGATTTACATTTTTCAATTTGCGCATTTCTAATTCGGACTGCTGCCCGAGGGGCTCAGTTTGCTCAAGCCACTGATTTCTTGGCAGTGTTTCAATGCTTTAGACGTGTCTGTGGGTCGAAATTGCTTGAGACTCCTGGTGACGAGTTGCATTGCCCGCTACACTGCTTCTTCTGGACATGTGCTTGTGTTTTTGAGTGTTGCTGAACAGTTGAGCCGTCCTTGCCTGGAACCCAGCATTCAAGATTTGAGATGCTCGTGGCACGCTGTCGGGCAAGACTCATGAACCCAAGACTCTCCGGAAAATCTCTTCCGGCAATCTTGTTTTTTGGTATGGGAGCTGTGCTCCCCGGTACAAGTTTAAAGCTGTACCGGATGCACCCAATATCCATGGTTCAACATTGCCCTGAAGTCTTGCCGGAGGATCTTGGGCGCAATCTATCATCGCTTGCTGTCAGGGTTTGTTGTGTTGTTGTCTTTCCACGACGCTGTCCTTACGTGTCGGTTGCCCGCCATACCGTCGGTCAGATGCACGGAGTTCATGGATCGCGTCAACAATGTTGCCTGTGCGAGTTGTCATGTTGCGTCTGTTGACGAACAAGTCCGACAAATGCTGCATGAAGAGGCTGCACATGGATCACATGGAGGCTCACTTCGTGCCTTTGGGGCCATTACCAAACCAACACAGTGCAGCTTGGGTAAGTTGGACGAAGGTGCCCAAGCATTTCCAGGTATTATTTGTGCGAGGCAGAACCAAGAGTCACAGGAATCAGGTTTCCAATGTCTTGAGCAGTGGTTTCCTCTCCGTGTCTCATTCGTGCACCTGTAACGGTTAGCTCCCGACGGAACTTGGCTTGGCTCATGCTTTCGCAGGTTTGTAGTTACATAATTCGTGTCCGTCTGCGCGTTACAGCTGAAATTGCTGTTCGCCAGGCCACCCATCCCACAAACGTGACACGAGGCAGGAGATGAAGCTATGAAAGCCGATCTCAACACCAGTCCACCCCCCGGTATGCACATGACTCGTCAAATGATCCAGCACCATGTGATGTGGCATACTTGTAATCAACCTGGTGATCATGAGATTTGTGGCGCATATATCGTGTAGTGTTTTCACAGCATCAATGGTGTCCGGGGCGGCTGATGTTATGGAGGTAGCAGTGGCAGGCGCGGAATGATTTTGGCATGAATGGAAGAGGGTAGTGCATGCCGTCGGCGACGGTCTACGTGCCGGAGCGTCTCGGCATGCCGAAAGTGATTAAGCGAAGCGGCATGTGCCAGACGCTAGGAGGAACGCAGCTGGATCCAGAGCTTCCAACAGACGAGTGGAAGATTATCGACCAGGCTTCACCTTTTGCTACTACTGTGCCGGGACATATGTCCCTTAAGGCAGAAACGCTGAAGTGCCAGGTGCTGAGCTACCTTGCCCAGTACAACGGGAGCCCCGACGGGCGTGACGCAGAAGAGGTCTTGCGGCTCAGCTCGCCACGGGACATCTTGACTTGCGTGTTGCTGGATGCCATGCGACCTTTGACAGAGCATCCTGTTGAGAGGGCCTAGATTGAGTTTTCGCCTGCCTTGCCAAATTCTGACCGCAAGACGCGAGGAGCTGTTTTACGGGCTTCGTCCGTACTTAATCGATCTTAATCGCAGGTGAACAACAGAATCAATGGGAATGGTAATGCTTGCAGGAGCCAGCATGCACACTTGCGTCGGTGCAGACCATGAAATGACTTCTAAATACGAGTAATTAGGGCACAAGAAAAGTCTGCTGTGAAGGGGTTCCTCTCTAACTCTTTGATGATAGGTAGCGTGATAGAAAAATTTTTATAGTGCAAGCTACCACGAACAAGTAAACATAATCTGTTATAGTTACAACATGAACCAACGTAATTGGGGTAGTGCTTGACGTTGTTATGATACAAGTAGGTATAAAGTTGTATAGTAGTCGGTTTTTGACATATAGCAAGAATATCAAATTTGTAATAGTAACTCTTTGTTAAAACAGTAGTATTGCTTTGGTATAATCATACTAATGCAACATATTGTATTGGTTTTTGTCTACGAGAAAAGTTTCTCTTCATGAATATTGCAGGAACTTGTGTTAGACTTCTTTTGGTGCTGCAAACATAGTTCGAAGTTGCCATTTTTCAAAAGCCGTTGCTTTCTCAATATACATACCCTACTCAACTACTATAATGTTACTACAACTGTTCGATCAAACAACAGAAAACAGTAGAACTCAATGTAAAACAATACCAAATCTTGAGAAGCTGAATTTGTTTGTAGAATAAGTTGAATCTGATCTACTCCAATAGAAGTGAATGTAAGACGAAAAACATGCTCAGGCACATGCTTAACGAACCCAACAGAAACTCAGCACAAAATGACAACGGTCGATACAAGCCAAGAAAGAACATCAAGCCAAGCCTGCTTTTCACATGAATAAAAGCAAAGAACATGCGGTACCTTCGGCCATAACAGCATAAGAGCGGTGGTGCTGCCACCTGTCACATTCGGAATACCAGCATGCGAGAAGCACATCAGCGTCACTCTCATCGGGGGTGGGGGGTGGGGGGGGTGGCGCGATTGACGGCCACAAAGTTGCGAAGATTTTTGCGAGAGTCCCAAAAAGTCTTCGACAGCTACGAGCATGATGATGCAGACGAGCACCATCCCTGTGACCATTTGCTCGGATGAGATGCTGGGGGCGGGTATACAGCTATACCACGCGGGAGCGGGCATACTGGGAAGGGAAGCGGGGGTGGGGGCCCACTGGATCGCGTGCATGAGCTGACTCATCCAGCCAGCACTCAGGGTGTGCCCCCCGCCCGCCCGCACCCGGCCCAACACACAAACACCGGAAGACCCAACCAACACAGCTCCTTCCAGTCAGTTCATGAAACGAAGCAGCCTTCCACTTATTGGATCTGTTGACGAAACGCATCCTGGGCCTGGGCTGCCTGGGCTGCCTCTGGGCCTGTTGCTGTTGCTTTGATCGTGGTCATGTCGAGTTTGCCGCCTTGTTCACCTGGGTCGCCATGACCAAACTTGACCAAGCATCAACATCTCTTGAACAGTATGTAATGAGGAGAGGCTTAACTACGTACTACATACTGCAGAGGTGTGTATGCATCTGCAAAGCTTTCAATATTGAGCCTCGGCTTTTCTTCCTTGCGGCTATCCTGCATTTTGCGAATGCTTGTTTTGCTAAACATCTCACTAAAAACTGGGTGTGGCGAGAACCTGAAACCCTCATAAAGACTGCCTCCTGTGAACATAGCGAGGAATCGCACCAAGTTGCAAGACTGCAGGTCATGTCCTACATCGATGCACTGCGCCGAGCGATTTCTATCATCCAAGGATGCCACTCCTGCCATACTCCTCATGCCAGATCAAAATAGACATGGTGGCTACGCTCAGCCTGTCTCTTTTCAAAGTGCTGTGGACTTTGGACCATGAAGTAGATCATAGTCCGGTGAGGCGGGAGGCGATCTAGACAGGCAAAGCGCCAGGACGGCCGGAGTTGGCGGCCCTCGCAGAAGAGGCGATTACGAATGCGCCCGCTTTCACACTTACAGCAATATCTCAACATCGTCGCTTTGTGAAGTGTCTTGTTCACGAGTGCCGTCCTGATGATTTGGCCGACGGACAATCAAAGCCGCAATCTTTCGTCCTGTGGACAGGAGCGGCGGAATTTGGCCGCGCAGGCGCTGCCAGCAACTGTGTCCTGACATGGCTGAAAGAAGTGAGAGCTAGCTGGCAGGCACAGGCTGCACTGCATGAGTGGCGCAGACGATCTCAGGAGAAATGCTTTACCAGCTTGTAAAAGACTCTTGTATCCCATTCTTAGCAGGAGCTGGAGCATGTCCGAGGCGAGAATAAGGCGACTTGTCACCGTCCTTGAATTTGCTGCAGCGGGGCGTCCGGCATCCGGCTCCGAAGGACTGCGGTTTCTGCAGTCCCTTTTTCGGAAAGGTCAAGTCAAGACTTGTCCGTCCAAGGTTCTGCAAGCGGAGCTGCTTCGTGGTCGTCAGGCGACAGCACTGTCTTTTGTACCGGATCCAGCTTTTGGCAGTTGGGATGCACATCGTAGAGCTCGTACCATCAGATTACGTAGAGCATTGAGTGTGGTTCTCTTGACATGTTGACGGTGACAATGTGTTTCAGAGACGTCTCGCTGTTGTTGGGCGTGATTTCGATGTTGGCGCACGTGGCCATAGTGCAGGCTTCGATAGACAGAAACACTGCTCAAATCCAGAGCAGGACCACGCAACAGCTTCTCCCGCTAGGCCCTAGCGTTGGTTGTTATGGAAGAGTTTTGCAGCTTGAAGTCTTGAGCTCGGAGTGCTCCGATATGCGATGCTCTGCCGGGGGCCCTGAGGGAAGGTCAAAGAGATCTTCGAGCTGTCGCCACTGTGCACTCATTGCCTGAATCCCAACACTGCCTCACCGCCAGACCGAAATGACAACTTGGGGGCTGGTTGGTACCATATCTTCAATTTAGTGGGAAGGGCCCGGAGCCCAGGGCTTAAGTCTTGGCAGGGTTTCCAAAAAAGGCTTCTTGGGCCAACTTTGTCTGGCTCCGCTCGGTCCTGTCGGCCTGTCATAGCCTGTGGCAGGCTTTGGAGGAAGTCCTCAACAAGCAGGCCCAGCGGCCCACGTGACAGCACCTCAAGTGCCAGGGTTGCCTGCGCAAAGAACTCATTCTTTCCGCCTGTGGGCACATGGTTTGGCATTGTTATGAAATGCATGGGGCGTGGCACCTCAATCCACAGCCATGCCAACGAAGTGAGGTGCAAACAGTTGAGGACGCTCAACTGTGTGCCGTGTTGCCTGCAATAATCCGGTCCCCTGCGCCAAGATCAGCTAGCCGCCCCCGTGTGAAGGATCTGATAACACCGGACATCCACACCAGCATGTCTGCTGGTTTTGCATGCGTAGACTGCTGCAGTCAAAAACGGTACAGGGCTTTTGCGCAGCAGCTCGTCAATCAGTGTGTCGTCTTACTTCGCAGCGTGTGTCTGCACGCCGGGTTCCAGTCGTCGTCGCCCGTTGCAGGCAGAACTCCAGCGATCCGTGACAGCTCTGTGCGCTGACATTGAGCTGAGGCTTGTTTGTCTTCGCCCCACGAAGACGGTACTGCTTAAACCTTGTATGCCTTTCCACTTCCAGGCTTCCAGACCGCTGTGAAGATTTGTGCCCTCTTCCGTTTTCTTTCTCTCAGACAATGACAAGCAGTTCGTAATGACATCAGCTCCTCTACCCTCCACGTCTGTGTTTTTTTTTTGTTTTGTGTGTGTGTGTGTGTGTGTCTGTGTGAGTGTGTGTGCGCGGTTGAGCTCAAAGTGGCATCTCTGAAATGTGACAGGGACGATCGGCCAGCAGCTTGCAAGTTGCAGCTAGAGTCGAAATATGAAGCTCCAGTGGGCTCCTTATCTTTCTCGTGAGGCTGACTTGTGTTGACCCCTCCGATGGGAGGTCCGGACTCCCGCAGCCAGTTGCACAGCCGAGGCGTAGTGAGACAACCGGAATGAGCAGCGCGCGTGTCACCATGCACTAGACTCAACGGAAGGTTTGGGTAATAGTCGCTGACGCGAGCAGGCAGACCGAACATGTTTTCAGTGCAGACTGCGCTGCCACGCTAAGTAAGTATGTCACTGCCAACGCTCGACTCGCAGCACCTAGCGGTGCAAGAAAAGTTGTGTGATTGCCCGCATGTTTGCAATTGTAAGTGTTCCGTTTTTGACACGGTCCGTAGCTGTTTTGCAGGTAGAGAGCAAACCGAGTCTTTGTATGCGTAGCTTGTGAAGCCAGCCCAGAGTCCTTTCTTAGCTGTGCTTTGTTCGTGCGTTCGATTGTGCGACGCATGAAAGAGGAAATCGCCATGTGTCACCTAAACTCCTGAACTCTTGGTGGCAGGCTAGTATCCTCAAAAATCTGATGGTGGTCTTACACCTTGTGCATCGCTGTCGATGCTGGCCATGCGCGTGTGTGGGATATCTGCTGAGAAAGAATCCATCTCGAGATGCCAGCTGCTGTGTCGACTGCAGATTCACGAGTTGCATTGTTAGGGTAAGGCCTTTATGCCCCCACTGTCGAGGAGATGCGAGGGTTTGATTTTGTCGATGCCCCGAGTTGCCTTCAGATGCCGCACTGCGGTCGAGTCACAACTCTGCGTTTCGAGTTCTGGCAGCCCGCTGTTCGAGAGCGCGAGTGGGAGTTGTGGATGCCCTCGGTGCTGGGAAGCAGTTTCCCATGGCTGTAGAAGGCCAGCCTGGACGCGTGGGCGGGCGTGGTGGAGGAATTTGGTGGGATGGGATGAGGGTCGGCCGAATTTGTGATGTTCATGTCCCAGCTGACCTAGCATGCAGAGTTTCAGCTCACCCAAACTTATTCGAGGAATTCCGGCGCAAGATCGTTGAGTACTTCGGAGCACCGCCCGCTTCGCAACCGGGGAAGTCCATGGCCGTGCTAGATCTGGATGCGCTGGATATCCTGTCTTGCCACAGCCGCAGCTTGGGTCTTCAGTTGGGGCTGCTGGGTCCGGATGGCTGCGAGTTGGAGGACGAAATAAAGCTGGAGCGATGCCTGCAAAACGGAGACCTGATAGTCTTCGTTCGTGGCGAGCTGGCATCCGTGCATCTTGTGGACGTCGTGGATGCCCACTAGACTGAGGAGTCATGGGGCAAGATGCCCTTGCACAGTAATGCAATCGCCGGTGTTGTCACAAGTGCCGCCGTTTCTCACGACCCCAATGTGACAAGCCTCTCCGATGCAGAATCATTTTTCTTGTGGTTCTGGTGAGAAGCAGGGGCTTGTCTTCGTCTGACGTCGCGGCAACAAGTTCCCACGATTTTCGCTTGACGACGTCCACAGACAGCACGATTCCCGAGGGCAATGTGTTCAGCGTGCTCGCAACTACAAGATCCGCTTCTGCCGCAATCCAGCAGCTTGGCAAGCTTGGTCCGGGCTACAAGTGCCGACGGATCTTACGTCTGCACCATGCCAGGTAAAACTGGGGTGGGCGGGGGGGGGGGGGGGGGGGGGGGGGGGGGGGGGGGGGGGGGGGGGGGGGGGGGGCGGAAGACGATGCAAACAGATGCGGGCTGTAGATGTTTTGATTTCGCTCGAGTTTCCGAGCTGCGATAGCGTTGTGCTCGGTTTCCGCAGGTTGCTTGTGTCTGGTCAAGAGATCATAGCGGTCATAGCGATGTGTAGCCTCCCTTGCCCAGTGGAGCCAATATCCTGGAAAGGAGATGTGCATGCCCCCTGTCACGCAAGTATTTTTGTTGCTAACAGCATTTTGAAAGCTAAAGTTGTGAGCGGCCGCATAAAGCAGGAGATGTACTTGCGGCGGTGCCAAGGCTCCTTGGGGCACATGCTTTGTGGATATCACCCCGAACGGGTGCCAGATCGTAGAGATTCCGGACCATTGCTAACGTGGCGTCTCGGGCTTCGATCTTACAACATGCAAAAAAAGGTGCGCGAGTCGCTTGCCAGCGGTGTGTGACTCGACTTTGCATCATCCCGCTTTGAATGACAAATTGCCCGCTCCCGCGCCACCCGTAGCTGTTCGGACAAGAGCAGATGGGTCACATGAGGAAGCGCTAGGAAGGGGCTGCCCAGACTTTGAGTTCGTTAAGATTTGATTCATTTTCTAGTTTCCGGAGTCATCCCGGCAGCATGGGAAAAGAAGAGGCGAGATCCGTCGATCGCCACATTATGCAATTTTCGACCATGGACCTTCCGGTTTGCGAAAGTGTCGCGGTGCCACCCTGCTCTAAACTCCGCATCTGCGCTGTATTTCGCAGTGCAGCGTGCCGGACACCTGGAATTCAGTTTGTGCAAGCGACGCTGTGGTTCACGACAGGCCGACGAGCTCCTGGACATGGATGAAACCTCGTCTGACGAGGAGAAGTCAACGAACACCGTTTAAAAACACAACTTCCTAACTTGTGCACAGTTGTCTCTCCCGGTCGCAGGGATGAAGGCCCCACTCGTCGTTGGGAGGCTGTTTTTCTTCCCTCTTTGCCCGCAGTCTCCAGCCGTGTCGCCTTGGAAGCCCAATCCGTCTCGTAGTCTTCATCCTAGGAAAGTTCCTGGGCCCTTCAGCCGGTGAACCCCGGCTCCATTGACTGCACCGTCTGTTGTGGGGTGATCCTCTGCAGTCATTGCCAGGGGGGCTGGGCCCGTGGCCGGAAATTCCGGTGCTCACGTTGTGTATACCCACACAAAGACATGCATAAGATACGTTCGTAAAGATGCACTCACACACCTGCACAGTCAAAAAGCATGCAACCATATAAGTAAAGGAACTTTGACTTGTTTTCGGAGTCATTTGGTTCTCTGGACATTGTTTGCATCTGTCTCCTGTTGCTGTGTCATCGTACCGGTGTCGATGCTTCTGGTCCTGCCCAGGGTTGAGGGACTAGGGACTCTACGAGGGGTGATGTGTTGTTGCGTGATATTCCTGCACTTACTTCCCGAATCTTTAAGGATCTTGGAGTTGTAGCCACGTGGTCGTTGCATCCTGAAGCTTGGGATGACCAGTTGATCAGTTTTTGCAATCTGGGGTAGCCGTGTGGCACGAGCCCACAGCAGTCGGCGCCTCGGTTCCTGGCATATGCGTAGTCCAGGTGTAAAAGGGACTCGTAGAGAGGTCAGGAACCCACTACAGTGGCGCTGGTTAGTTACACTCCTGCTTCCGTTTTTTGCAACACCATCCGCGTCTCATCGTGGCATGCTGTTGTTCCCAGTAGCGCAGCATGCAACACTCAAAACTTTGCAAGTTCTTTTGCAAGGAATTGCAAAAGCGATCAGAAGCATGAGGTTCTCAGAAAGTGCCACGTTTGCAGGACTCGGCCAAAGAACTGGATCTTCCGCTCTACGTCCGACATCCGAAGACAGTGAACATTGTAGCTCTCTTGGTATACATGGCACTTGGCATGAGCGTGATGTCCTTCTATGAAAATTGGAGTTTCGTGACTTCTTTTTATGTCATTGTCCAAATTATCACGACTGTCGGCTACGGGGACATTGCTCCAACTGCGAGCGGCGAGCTGTTCCTGACAGTCTACGTTCTGCTAGGCACGGTACTGGTTGCGAGCATTTTAAATGGCTTGATCGAGTCCTTCCTGGAAGCTTCAGAAGACCGGTTGGGTGAGTCCCTCATTGCGATGAGGACGAACATAGCAAGGAGTGTCAGTCAGGATGACCTAGGCTGCAGGTGCTCTTGGAGCAGATCTGTCAAGGACCTAGCGAGGGCCACCATGGTATACCTCTTCTTCCTTGTCGTTTGGGCCGCATTCTTTACGATTTACGAAGGATGCTCGTGTTCATATGGAGCGAGTCGCATTGATGGGTGCGAAGAGGGCGATCAATGCCTGGCAACCGGGGGTGCTCACTTGAGCATCCGGCAGTCATTCTACATGGGGGTCATAACGTTTTCCACTGTGGGCTTTGGAGACTTCAGCCCGAAGTCGAGACTGGGAAGGCGCGTGTCATTGATTGATTCTATGTGTTCAACAACACAGACGGAGCTGTGTTGTTTCGGCAGGATCTTTGGCTCGGTATGGATGATCCTTGGTATTATTGCCTTCGGCACGATGGTGGGCCACGATGCTAAGCAGCAACCACGACTAAGTCTTGCCGAGAGTGCCCAATGTCAAGCGCGTTGTGTCGTGCGACTGCTGCGTCGTCGTCGTAGCACAACCAGCAGGAGCCGCAGCAACAAGACAATTCCGCCTTGCAAGTGGCAAGCCACGCCTGTCACAACCTGCACAAGTGTCAACCGAACGTTTTGAAAGTTGTTTGGGACATCCGTGGGCCGCCCTCTAGACTTGTGCAGTCAACAAATCATAACAAGTCCCTTGACAAGTCCCGCTTCCTGAACAGTAGCAACGGAAGTCGCGTGTGCAATTCCTGGCGACTTGCGCAAATGCCATGTCGGGATTGCCCTATCGTTGACCTACAACACTCCATGGTCCTGCGCTCTCACTACAGCTCGCTGCCGATGTCATTGTAACATAGAATTTTGGGCTTCTTCCCCACTTCTTAGCTCGCGCTCTCGCTGCAGTGCAGTGCAGATTTTGAGGTGGAATCCTGCTTCTGCCAATGCCTCGCCAGGGTTCTTCTGAAATTTCGCCTCGTCACATCGTGCTCGCGCTGCAGTGCCGTGCACATTTCCGATCGTGAATCGTTCTCCTGCCGCATTTTCGCTCGCAACATCTCGCCACTACGCCGGCATAAATTGGTTTGGTGCGTGTTGAAGAACTCAAGGGTTTGCCGGAGAATGCACCAACAAGGGGTGGAGGTGACATGACCGCACTCCGAGGGATTGACTGTGGACTGCGGAACGAATTTGGCACACACCTAAGACCGTAGAGCGTTCATGTTCAGCAAGCATGGTGCCACGATGCCGCTGCCCTTGCTGCTGGAACTGTCGTGACTGCATTGACATTCAAGGTGTCCACCATACTGAATGACTGGAGGAGGTTCCATAAGAGAAGCTCCGCGGCTCAATTGTTTGCAAGGCCTTCGCTGTAAATTTCTACGAATCTGGCGTAGAAGCCCGACACGATCACATGCCGATGATCGCTGAATCTCTTTTAGGGGGCCCATTTGTACGATAGCCTGTGCAATGCAGCATGTGGCTTTGAAGCTCCCGTCAGGAGTGTTGGTTTCTCGGGATACGTTCAACAAGATGGACCGTTTCTTGGAGACGAGAAGCATGTGCTCAGTGTTGGGGATGTGCGTCATGCATCAAAGTCTGCCTCTTTGTGACCCTTGCGACATGTTGAACTCCCCTATCATTTCGCATTAGTTTTCAGACAGCTGAGGGGATGGCTCTGGAAAGGTCAGGCGCCATGAGTTCTTGCGGCGGCTCAGCTGGCGGTTCAGCATAAGCTTATCTACGGTCGTGATGCCAGAGGTGATTCTTACTCAAAGTTCATGCGCTGCAATTGGGAATGCTGGTGCAGTGTAGGTAAGTAACATGTGTCCGTGTCCCAGCGAGGTCGGGTCATTCCTTCGAAATTGAAATTTGTTGCAATTTCCATGTCCGCTGAAGCTGATGTCCTCTCCTACTCAGGTATATGCTTGTGAGACAAGGGTTGGTCAAAGCAGAAGCACTCGAGAACATCGATGCTTTGTTTGAGGAACTGGACCAGCTCCTTGGCTGTGTTGCCCTCTTGCCTTTCTCGGGGCTCGCAGTTCGCGGTGAGGGAAGCCTTCCAGCAAAAGGGTTTGATGTCTCGTTTCATCCTCTGCAGCGCTTACCTCCAAACATTGAAGGACTCAAAAGGGTCATGCTGCTCCCGGGAGCATTCTGTATCCCAGGGATAAGAGTGGCATCCTGTCTTTCGACGAGATCAACGGCCGCCTCCTACCCTTGGATTCGTGACCAACCGCGTCGCGATATGATGGCGAGTCCAAAGCGATGCCATATAAGCCGACGGGAGAGGCCGAGCGCATGCCAGACTTGTGTCGGCATGCGCTTTGTGCAAGCCAGCAGTAAAAAGATTTCAATCCTGAACCTGCTGGGCTTCTGCAGTGCATGCTCTTTTGAGTGGAGATACTGTGGACTATGTGGAGCCTTGCCTGCTGCGTGCGAGTGTGAGCGTCGAAACCGCGCGAACCATATGCCTCGCCTGGATTGCCCGAGTGTGAGCGCCGAAACCGCGCTTTTGGCCGGCCCTTTCGCTTAACGCAGGCATTTGCAGTGCTTCTGTCGTAGCCAAGATCGATCCCTACCTGCCATGGTTGCCCTTTTCAGTGGCCTTTTCAATACGTTAGTATTGTCCACTGAGCTCTACTCTTCACGTGGTTGATGAGGCCACAAGTAAAAGTATGCGTCTATCCGTTTATCAGATATCCTTGTTGCATGCAATCACTCATTGGACGGTGCGTTTCATTCGGGAATCAGGCCTCCCTAAACCTTGAAGCCTGACAGTTGTTTTCAGCATGGTCCTGAGCGAGAGTACGGCGGGGGTAGTATTTCAGTCAGCGCGCGGACGAAAAGTGTGCCAAGGAGTTACATGTTGAGATTCCTGTGTGGTTTGAGGCAATCGTGGAGGAACGGCTGCTTCGACTCATCCATGCCTTTCCCTCAACTTGGGGTAACCTGGGCACAATTCCTGGTCCCAAATTGGGTAAGGGGAAGGAGGCAGGCTCCGACAAACGCACCACGAGCCCGTTGTATATTCATGGTATCTGGTAAGTTACTGCCTGTTTTGATCTCGCTCAGTGCTACTTCTCTAAGACTCTCAGAGCAACACCATGGAGAAAATGCAGGAAACAGTGACACAGCGGCGATGCATAGAATGTTGGCATCCATGCGTCATGCAGGCAGTCTTGGTCAGGCTTGCAACCGACACACTGGGTGGCAGCTTAATTCTCAATCATGTTTGGCTACTTGGGCTTTCAGGGTAGACCAGACAATGGCCATGAAAAGTCGTATGTCTGCATCGGTGATCGCCGCGTGTCGGCCCGAGCAGTCTCCAGGGGTCTCTGTGCCTCTGCTGCTGGCGACATGAAGCAGTGCAGGGCACAGATCGCCGACATGCACGGTGAGATCACAGCCATACAGTGTTGTCAAGTTGTTGTGCCTTTGTTGAAGGCTTCACCGGATGATTGACGAGCTCCGCAAATGGATGCCCTTCACCCCCTCAGCTAAGGTGCAAAACGAACTATCCGTTCCATGAATGTTCCATGCTCCGCCGGCAATGCCGCAAGGTGGTTTGTTTTGGCGTCACCTACGATGCATCAGACGACGCACAGCGCGAGGCCTTCATGGAGGTGCCCGTTCTGCGGCGCGATCCCCAAAGTGTCGAACAGGTTTCTTTCTGTTTGACAGGACTTCCGTTCGCGAATTCTCCTGACCTACCGTTCTGGCCTAGAGCTTGTGGCCAAGTCTGGTGCATTCTGGTGAGCATGGCCTCTTTGCTCTTTCGACAGTCGATGTCTCAACTCTCCAGGCCCCCTTTGCAGCTGGCAGGGGGAGGAACGAAAAGCTCGGATTCAGGCCTTGGGCACGAGCTCGGTTTCAGCAGGTCGTTCTGTCTAAAGAACATCCTAGGCTGGGGCTGCATGCTGCGTGCCGGGAACCTCGAAAGTCTTGTCTTACCTTGCTTACTGCCGGACTCCTTCAATGCGCACTCAGGTAACGCAGATGATGTTGGCACAGTGCTTCATAACCTTGGGCCTAGGCTGGGGTTAGGGCCCTCGTCAGCGCTTGTGTGTGTGTGTGTGGGCGTAATGGTTGCGAGTAGTTTGCATCCTGTGGGCCTTGGCTTGCAGTTACCTTATTGATACAGCGGACAAGAGAACATGTACACCCTTGATAAGACATCATCAGAAGTTTAACCATTTGACCCACATGGAGGGGAGGGCCGCACATTTTTTTTGGGACAGGGAGTCTCGTCGATTCCGGCTACCATCGACGTGATGAGAATCGCATCGCGCATCTACTAGATCACCAGATAGACAGGTTCAGGAGATTCGGCAAACGCGACCTGAACAGCCAAACATGTGGCTTGCTCCACCATGGACATGCTTGAAGATGTTATGACATCTGGACACCATGGGCATCATCTGTGGCAGGACATGCATTAATGGAATGGAATGGAATGTGAAAGGAATGAATGAAACGAGTGAAATGGATGAAATGAATGAAATGAATCGAATGAATGAAAAGAATGAAACGGATGCTATGTATGCAATGAATGAAAGGAAATGAAGGAAATGACTGAAATGAAGGCAATCAATGCAATGAATGAAATGCATGAAAGGAATGAAATGAATGAAATGAACGAAGTGAATGAAATGAACGAAGTGAATGAGTGAGTGAATGAATGAATGACTCAATGGCAGTCGCACTTCTCGCGCAGCGATTGCTTAGCGAGCCATCTATCGTGCATTGCGCTTGAGTTCCTGACCGTGATCTATTATCATCGTGATACTGGCCGGGGATGTTCAACGTGGAAGATCGGCATTCGACAACGCATTGACTTCCAAAGTGTCCGCGTATGTTTGGGTGGCCACAATGCAGCACGGTGCCAGCAACCGTTTGGACAGGCCGAGCATGGCGATTCAACGAGGCTGCAATGCCTGCCGACACACCTGATCGCGGCAATTGACCCAGCTGTCCCAGGCAGAAGACCTCGCAGAAGGCGGGTTCTTCAGCATTTTTTGCATGTTGATGCGAATTGGCAATGTGGAGCGGCGGCACCGCACTCCATTGCTTCGTTGCTTGCCGGCTGTTCCGGGGCAGCTTAAATCTTGCAAGCGTACCAGGTTCCTTGTACCTCCGCATTGTCAGCTGCTTCTTGGACACCCCGGCTGCGCCGTTTTCATTGCGTCTCGGATATGGTTTTGGCCTGACAGTTTCACCGTTTTGCGCAGAAGCAGCTTCGATGATGAGGGGACCTTGCACAGAGGCACCGGCTCGTCGAAACAGGGCAGCAGGTCCTGGGAAAGGACATGCGCAGTGCATCTTCGTTTCGGTTCTTGTAACACTGGACAGTACTCTTGCTTCAGCGTCTCGGCTTGTCGGCGTCTTTGTGGCGGGTTGCAGGAGCCCTCTGCTTGGCTCGGGTCCTTGCGCGTGATAGCCAGAGTACCCAGGAAACTAGTGGATTGTGGCTAAGTCATGCCAAGGTTCGGCCCAACATCTGCGGCGCAGGCGGTTGGCCACTTGTTCCAGGACGGGATCAACTCCGATTTCCGGCTTTCCTGCTCCACATGGGTGTTTGTGGGCATTGCAGTCTGATGTTGAAGCACTGAACCGGTTGTGTCGCAAAGCTTTCGCCTGTGCGAAGCAGAAAGTTGTGGCTCTGGCCTGGGCAACCTTTGAAGGTATGAAGAGGTGGTCAGTGGTTGTTCGGTGTGTTGTCCATATTTGGTGGACTGCCACTTTAGTCGGTTGAATAGGATGAGCTCGCAAACGAAAGGACGCCATCAAGTGCCGTACTTGGGTCATGTGTTAAGGCGTGCCGCACGCCAAAAGGCTTACCACAATCAGCGTGCACATGGGAACCGATTCTAACAGTGGTTTCCCTTCAGCTGCACTCTGTCATGAAAAGCTGTATCGAATGCGCGTGTACATCTTGGGTTTGATGCGTTAGGGCACGGAGATGTTGAGCTTGGTTGGGCAGTTTTCCTGGGCGTGGGGATTGCCATTGTGGCTTCCAAGCTGAAATGGCAACCCCCTAAACTGTATGTGCCCGCCCTAACCCTCCAACTATTGGCCTTCCCAGAACCACAGGAACACGCAGGCACGCGCAGTTTTTTATGTTCTGGATGTTTGCATTTTCCACGCGTGGACTTGGAGATTGGCTTGCAGTGTTGTGACTTCTTGGCACCTGGCGTGCCTTCTTTTTTGCAGTGTGTCAATGCGGTATTGTTCCTTTTCCCTCTTGGCGTGCCGGTGCAATTCGCAGGTCGACGTGGGTGGGTTTAGGCGAAAAAGGCAAAGGCGTGGCCGGCACACACTTAGAGCGGATCGCAAGGCGAATTAGTCCGGAAAAGTCTGGATGTGCAAGCCGAAGTCGCGACGGTGCGGTCTCAATCCGGATCCTATCTCTCGCCGTATCTCCCTGGTGCCTCCCGGGCGCAGGACTTGAAGTCCAAGGCCGGCAGACTTTCCCGACTTTGACCATTACAGTCTCGTCTCGCTGGTGGAACGCACGGGAGGCTTCGGCGGGCTCCCCCGAGTTCCTGAGAGGCGTGGGCTGCGCTGTGTTCGTCGTATCGTGGCGGCAGAGCATGGCTTCGAGCACTCAGACGCACCAGTCAGATCCGTTGCTTGTTTGTGCACACCGTGTGCCAAGGACGGACCTATCTATAAGGCCAATGTGTCACGGGCCAAGAGGAGACTGACTGTGTCGAGTCCCAGCACAGGACGGGCAATCGAGGCTACTATTCGTAGTTTATGACCGCACAAGGATTTCGTTCGAAGGCTTACAAGCGGATGCAAATCTTGTTGAACCTTCGGGCATGCTGATACAGCATGTCACGTACACGGCATGATTTCTGAAGACGGTGCTGAGGATTGAGCAGTTCGACAGTGGTAGCTCGTCGGCAGGGCCCTCGGCCCCATGCACTGAATCAGCTTGTTTCGTGTTTCCGTGTATGTGTTTGAGAGACCCAATACAGGCGAACGAAAATCGATTTTAGATGTGGCGCTTAGGTGATTTTGTTCGTGTGCCGACGACTGGGGCTGGACGAGTTCAATCTCGAAGAGTACCGAGAAGGCGAGAATGAAGATGATGGTTGAGCTGCCTCGAAACATGACCAAGAAGTGTCGCAGCTTCGCATGTTGTTTTCAGAACAGAACTCTGGGGGACGTGAACACGTATGTAAGGCCACGTGAAAACTTGCCTACCAGGCTTTGGAGGCTCCCTGATGTAGCTGAGTCTAGCTTCTCGTGTCAAGCATGTTGACTGCTTACCCTGTTTCTCTTTCTCTCTCTCTCTCTCTCTCTCCAGATTTTTCGTCCACAAGAGTAGGGGCACTGTTTCTACACACGTCGTGATCTGTACTTCCGTATCAGGCTTCAAACATTCCACCAATCCTCCAGGTCTCCAGCCGTCTGTCCCCCCAGCCCCACACCCCCGCACTCTAGCCGTACTCTCAAGGCTTTCGCAGCATTTCAATCGAATCGCTTGGTTTTCCTTCTGCGGCGATGCCATGTCATATCCCGCGTCACCTTGGTGATAGATTAAGTTGTTGTGACTTTTTGGCATGCGATGTGACTTTCGCCGGTTCGAGCGTCACCATGCGAAATAGGGGCCGTGATGCGACTTTTGACGTGAGGCGACTTAGGGCCACCACCAAACAGTTGGGGAATGGCTGGTTTTGAAGTGCTGTTATCCTACTGCTGTTTGTTTTGCCTCTGAAAACGAGCATCCACATGGGGAACGGCTGGTTTTCTTCAACCTTCGTGCGCTATGATGCCAATGATGTGTGTCTTGAGCGGGCGCTTGTTACATGTCTGATGTGAACATGGTGATAAGTCTGCCAAACTGGCAGACTAATCAGGGCTCCGGGAAATACTTTGCAAAGAAAACCTGTGCGCAGCACTCGAAATCCTGAGTTGACCTCTGCGCCAAGAATGTGCTAGGAAGCGAGTGGCCATGCGGAAAGCGATGTGCAGCTATGCTTGTGGTTTGACTTCAAACGCCGCGGTGTAACTTCACGCGGTTCCCGTGTGACCATGAGGTGTCGCGACTTCACGCGCCCTGGGGCGACATACAGCCACCCTAAAGCGATCAAAATTCGCGACGCGTACAAAGGGACTTCGACTCCCGCAAGAAAAAGCAGCGTGTCTACTTAACGGAGACTCGGTGCCGACATGCATTCTCAAATGCGAAAAGGAGCTCTTGAAACCCCCGCAGACACTCTTGACTGGAGCGATTTGGAGAGTACAATCAGAGCCCACATTGGGGTTTTAGCATCTAGTCATGTGTATCCTGGGCATTAATGAGGCTTCTCAACCCACCGTGCGCACGGCACGCGGCATTTTGGGTGCAAGCCGGGTACACTCCCAAAATGCGTGTGCCCTTGCGAAATGGCTGACGTTTAACTGTTGTTGGGCTGACATCAAGCCGCTTGGGGTAACTTCACTCCCATACCGCGTGCCGCAGGGCTTGGGGCGACTTTACACCAGCTGGGGCGACCTAAACCTAGTGGGGAGCACGTGGGCTTGGGGTTTGCGCGGGAGGTCCTTGAAGATCTATGCTACGCGGGTTAGGGAGTGCACGGGGCCCCTGGGCCCCCTATAGAACATCATGACTAAGTACATGCATCTCGGGGTTTCGGGTTTCGGGTCGGAGTTCGCGTTACGCTTGGGCTACAGTTTCTGTTGCTGCTGCCGCACGTTTCTGTTACAATGTGCACGTCCGGTTTCCAGTACTCCCCAAACCGGTTCCTGTGACTCCCGCACCCGGCCTGCCCATCGCTTGCATATAGGTGGTATTGTAGCAACGAGAATGCAATGTGAAAGGGGCAGGCTGCTTGAATTCACGGGGTGGGATGTTGGAGAAACAGTTTACACAATCCTGTTGGGGCTTTTCGGGCTCTCTCGACAGGATCCGGATAGGCTTTCGGAGTCCCGGAGCATTGGAAGTCCCTTGGAATATCTTGCAAGCTCCTTGAGCTCCTGGTGCTACCACTCCAAACTATCAGCTCTGCCGAGTCGAGATGGGAATCCAAGGGGGCAGAGCCCTCCCGGCAGGTTTGGAAAGCTGCTTCCAGCTCCCCGAGTTCCAGGTCGGCCCCTGCGGCTGCGTGCAGCTGCGCGACGCACAAAAACACACATGATGCTGCGCCCGCTTTCGGCTTTCGAGCCTGTCTGTGATGCTCTGCAAAGGGCTTGGCGAGTGGCAACAGCTCCTCGTCCGCGCACTTCTTCGTGGTGCCTTGGCTCTTGACAGATTTGTATGCCGGGGGACGTTGAAGCAGCTGATTTGGACTAGTTGCAGTGGTCCGGCTGCTAGCAGTGGAAGCTAGATAAGCTAATAGCCATGAAGAACACAAGCAGGGAGGGATGAGATTCAGCTTGCGGAGGAGTGCTCTGGGCCTGCTCCTCATTCTGTTTCGATATCGATTCCTGGCCCAGGCCACCCACGGTGAAGACAGCGTCCTGTTCCTCGACCCACACACAACCTCCCCAGCACTGCGCGTGGAAGGGGATGTGGTGGCATCGCTCGGGCCTTGCTGACAACCACATGCCCTGGCGATTTCTGAGTTCTGGAGCTTCCTGAAGGCACGGGCTGCGTCCGGAGAGAGCTCTGCGGTTGCCATGGTCCAACCTGAACCCGTCAATTTGCCGGGCGCCCTGAAAGAGGGAGGCCCAAGAGGGGAATTCAGAAAGTTATATACGGTGCAGATCTGCAGGCAACGGGCACCTGAGCAAGAGACAGAGAGAGCCCCAATAGGGGGCCGCACAGACGAGCCCGAGCCAATGTGTGCTGTGGGGTAGGCCTTCGGGCTCTTCAGCCCCTCGCAAGCAAGAGCACGCAAGCAAGGGTCGGCCGCAGAAAGGAAGAATGGAAGAAGAGCAAGCGAGGCGGCTGGGTGCATGCCCTGTCAGGGTTTGCACGCTTGTGTTTCCGGACCCTCCTGAGGCCTTTCGCAGTTTAGAACCCAGAAAGAACATGAGGGTCGAGAGAGAGGCGGCATTGCTGCCCGGGCCGTTCTCATCGCATTAGTGCCGAGAGAGCACCTGGACTCTGCCTGATCATTCCAGCTTCCGAAGGTGTGGCATTTATGGTGCGTTCCAAGGTCGAGCTGCTGCCTCAGTGTGCCCACCTTTACTTTCAGTGCGATGGGGTGTCTTGCAAACAGGACTGACTGCTCTTGTTCCCGTCGCATCTGGCTCGAGATACAGCCAGCATGTTGCCATACCGGCGAGGTCTGCGAAACACTCTTGTGGCACTATTGTGCTTCACTGCGGATGTATGTCGCTCGGAGGAACCCTGTGGGGAGATTGCTCAGTTCAAGCGGGTCACCCTATCCCCAGTTCGCCCTCGATGATGTGCGTCGCCAAAGCCCTTGACATCAGGCATGTGATGTCCATCTTTTCAGGCAACGTTTCCATCGTCCTGCAGTCGTCCGTGATTCTCCCCGATCTCTTCAATTTGCAGTCTGCAGTTCCTGCAGTTCCCGTTTCTTCTGATTCCTGCAAACGGCAGTTCTTCGCAATCCCACACCCCCCCTCTTCAAACCGCAGCATCTTGACTGCGCTCCCCGTCGCTCTCTACCGGCCCAGCAATTCCTCCTCCCCATCTTAAAACCCATGCGCCTATGCTAGGTAGGAGGGAAAAAAATACATTCTCTTCCCACACTCTGTTTAGATTGGATACCCCCAATTCGGACTTCGTTCCAACAGCCAAGCTCAACTTGTTCCGTAATGATCCAAATAGTGGACCATCATGAATTGTGGTCGTGGCCCAAGTAGGTGGGCTCCGAGAAAACGATCAAGAGTAATAGCACTGGGTAGTCGAGAACCTTCTGCTGGGTTTCAGCTGATCACATCATCGGGTTTATTACGGTGGCCTTCGTTTCCTGTGTGTTCTCAAAGGGGAGAGGGGGGCGGAGTTTGGGCTTGTTATCCTTACCTAAAATTTGGAATGTGCGGAAATGGGCCAACTTAAGCACAAGTCCATTTTCTGTGGAAGCACCGCACGACTCTGGTGTCCGGGTGCATGTGTTCAGAGTTCCGAGCAGAGGGTTGGGTTTAAACTCCCATCCAGGCTTATCTCGTCCTGAATGTAAGGCTGGACAAAGAGCAGACCCCACCACGCTCCTCAACATGAAGTGTGTCTTGCTGAGGCATTGCGATTCGTGCCGTGACTGAACCAGACGCTAGCTTCTCCTCGACGGATGCCTGGCTGGAGGGGAGCTGCTTGTTTTGTTCACAAGATTTGTGGCGCGGTACTCCGTCTTTCGGGAGGAAGACTGTGTTGACACTTGCATGGACCTGTTGGGTCGTTTTATTTATATCGAATGGGTTTCAGTGCTCGCAGAGCCTTGGGGCTTCGCTGCTGGCATACACTCCAAGTCCGTGCTTAAAAGTGCTCGCTGAGCTGAGGACATTTGTATTCATTTCCATGCCGCCGATGCAGATGGGACGGTCCACACTCCTCATACGGCTCGGAACTTACTCCCGAAGCATGCTTCACGTACACTTCTGCTTGCATTCCTCAGAAGGCTGGGTTCAGCTCTTTTGAGAGAGTATGATTTCCAGCTACTGGAGCGGATGTTCCACAGTTGTAGCAGGCAGTGGATGGGCTTCTAGGCTCGTGGCCCTCGCATAAGGCGATTTCAAAGTCACCTGAATTAGTCAGCTGAGCGGTCGGGCAGCTCTACATCTGTGCTGAACTCTACTCTACTGTCTGCCTGTCTGTATGTATGGTCGTATGTATGTATGTATGTATGTATGTATGTATGCGTGTTTGTATGTAATGTATATATGCAAGCATGCATGATGGTTCTTTGTATGTACACATGTATGTATGTGATTTATGTACGTATGCATTTTGTATGTATACCGCCTGCGTCTCTGCTTGCGGGATTTGCAGGCCACGCTGGATGCATGGATCCGTACTGGCGTCCAGGTTCCAAGTGCGCCTGGGCGAGCAGTCTGGAAGCCGGGATGAGGGTTGCTTCGCGTATGCATCCGTTCTGCTGATCAGGCCTTGTGACAGTTGAATGCTGAAAGACAGATCCAATTCACAGACTCTCAGGGTGATGCTTTCAAGAAGCCTGTCTTGACCAGCCGAGCACGATGCCTCTCACCGAATAAGTGTCTGACCTGCAAGGAATGGAAGCCGAACACTTTGGTATGGCAGGACCTTGTGCACCGCTTCAAGTCCGGCACCGCGGCACAGATCATGCGGATATGATGCGTTGTCTCTCAATTCGTTGATTATTGCTCGACTTCAGGCAAGGCCGGCGGGTACGAAAGGCTCATGGAGTACAACAGATTCCGTGCGCAGTTTGTTGTGGACTTGCTGTGCTTTACGGCCATGTGCCAGAGCTGCACATTCATATCTGCAATGAGTTGATCAGTTCGCTTCGAATTAGGCAGGGCCTGTAGACCAGTTCTCCTGTAGCTCGGCAGCTTCTGTGCCGATTGTTGGATCGAAAACCTGTGATGGCACCTGTGAACTTTACCCTGTAATCCTTATCGCTCCTTGGAGAGCAGACTTGGCGCCTGTTGAGAAGGAAGGCAGGTAAGACCAAAATGCACCTGGCACAAATCTCCCGCGCGATACCGATGGCAGACATAGGCAGAAAGCATGACTAGTCACAGACTTGTGGCAGGAAGCAGGTGACAGACCAACGGAGGAGTCTAGAGCTGGTGTGGGGCAGCAAAAAACCCCGCACAGACATCGCACTGTGTGGTCAGCAAAGTGCTCGGAGGTCAGTGTGTGGTGAGCCTATGCGACACTTCTGAGGCAAGCATGCCCGCAGTGCTCAGCCAGCGCTATGGGCTCCACAAAGCCTTCAAGCGACCTGGACGTGTGCTTTGCCCGCAATCGGCCAGCTCGTCTTCGGGCATCGGGATAGACTCCAGGTCGGTCACGGCGCAGATGACAAGTGAACACTTTGGGCCGGATGTGCTCATCAAGCGCATCGTGTCTCCAATCAGCATCTGCTCCCAAGCCTGCTCATGGCGTCGTTATTCGGCGTTGTGACAAAACGCGCTTTTTCTTGGGCCGGTTTCTTGCTTGACCTTTTCTCGCTTCTCGTGCTAGTTGTACCGGATGTGTTTGGAGGTCGCAGGGCGTGAGAAGATGCCGTAGAAATTTCCATTCAGAGTCTCAGTCGGCGAGCGCCCAGCACGAGAAAGGCGGTCATGCAAGTATTCGAGCGATCCGAACAAGCAGACAGGCAACACAACAAAAGTGTGGACGAAAGAACTCAGTGGGCACGCAGAGAATAAGTGGAATGGGAATCACCAATTATGCTGCAGCTCCCCTCCTCAAAAAAGAAAGACATGGGAATCCATTAAGTTATCATAGCTTGGCCCCTGTCAATAAAAAAATACCTCCCCGGTCAGCACAACAACAGCACAACAACAGCATCAACAACAACTACAACAGCTACACCGCCACCGAAACCGCCACTGCCGCCACCACCACCAGCAGCAGCAGCTGCAATTACACCAGCAGCAGCAACAGCAACAACAACAACAACAACAGCTTTTTCGGGGGTGGACTTTTCGTACTGCAAAACAGGTCTGGCCAGTCGGCAGCTTAGGATTTACTCCCTTTGGACACCTGAAGCGCCTGGAGGCTAACGGCACCTCCTTCCCCAGCACAGAGGTTAACGCACTCTCCGCTTACTTAGGCGGGGGGTTACCTCCAAAATGAGGCTACTGGTAGCACGCACTGCCAGATTGCCCCTCCGGGTCGTGTTACCTAAGTGCCAGACAACAAACCACCAGGCTGGGAAAGCCAGGTCCTCAGAGTGTGGCGCGGCATCTCGACCGCCTTCTAGGTCCTCTCCTGAGCCGGCAGCTGCCTGGAACAGGCGCTGGTTTTGGAGTTTGAGCACGTGTCTGGCGCACCACTTCATTTCGGATTCTGGTGGTCACAGAGCAGGGGGTGGCCTGCTTTGCCTCCAAGTGCTTCGGGTGTGCAGCAAACGCAGGCCACAGACCTTGCATTCCACGTTCGCCCCGATCCATTCCCACTCGTGTGCCAAGTCGGTTTGCCCAACAAGCTGTGCGGGTCATCGTCCTGAATCTGCTGCCAGAGGTCCGCATTTGTTCGGCCCGGCTTGGCGGCTCTCCTGCGCTCTACCCTCCGCCCCCGCCCCGCTCCAGGGTTAAGTCCAGTTGTCCCACCCGTGTGTTGCAGGAGCAGGGCCACACAAATAACCATAATGGAATGGGGAATCACTTCATTACTACATTACTATACATTTGGATGCAATACGAGAAAAATGCCGCCCCTTGAATTGGCGTGGTTTTGTTATTTGGTGTCTTCGCATTAGTATTAGTATTTGTATTCGCATTAGTACGACTATGAGTATGAAACTGGCATGCGCAGGGTAGGAGGATGAGGATTACGATAAAGCAAAAGGAGTAGGATTAGTATTAGTATCATTCTCACTAGTACCAGTACACGTACTATTACTATTGCCATGACTAGTCTTATCATTACTGTTATCTGGCCCCCGCGCCTTCTCGGGGCGACCTTTCGTTCTGTTTCCAGAAGAAGGCGAGGCAAAGGAAATAGCACTAATAGCAATACCCACGCGTCCCATCCAACAAAAGCTCGCGAGGGCCCTCAAAGCACGCAGCAGCAATTCGGTGGCGAAAGTGGCAAAACGTGCATTGCACGTTTCGATATCATCGTGTTTGTCCAGTTTGCTTGCTTTCCGGCTTTGCGTTGCGTAGGGCTTGCTTTTTTCGGCGTTGGGCGGAGAAGTTTCTGGCTTCGATTCGTTTCTAGTGGATTTGTTTCCGCCATTCCGCATACAGTAACGTATGAAGGGTTGTCCTGCTTTTGTCGTTTCGACGTAGCATTTACCTGAGAAAGGGCAGCCTACACAACCAGATGCGTGTCGATTTCTTTCAGACCGAAGCCAGATGTTGCAACATTCGTTGAGATCTCCACTCGAGACCCTTTTTTCCCGCCGTGGTGAAAAGCACCTTTTTATTGCAGTCGCTGAAGTCATTTGCTAAGGATTCAATGATGTCTTTGCCACTGCGTGGGGCCTGGCCCAAGATGGTAACTCCCTCAGACTCCCTTGCCGGCCAAATTTCGCTGCATGCAGATGCTGCCCAGATCCAGTCAGCGGTGGACGGGTTTGCCATGAGGTCTGGGCATGACCTCAGCCGAAAAGTTCGACACCAACATTTATGGGTTCGCATGGTTCGAGGCAGAGAGCAAAACCAAGAACTGAGGGCATGACCACCTCATGCTGCAGGCCACACCGTGCAGAGACCACGTGTGCGAGGGGGCGTCGTTGCAGGCAGGGCTGGTCATGGGTTGGAAGAGTCAAGCCCAAGCAGCAGGCCTTACGCAAAGCGCTTTCGAATTCGGGTTTAGCTTCAGGAGCCGTGTCATGCAGTCCAAGACTTTTCTGGAGTCCGCAATCCGATGCTGGGCGGCCATGGCTGTCAGATTTTGATCGGGGGCTAGTTCTCGTTGGTAACCGATGACCGAGGAAGAACCTTTCAACTTGGCGGCTGCGGAGGTTCAGTGCCGCCGACAACCCTGGCAGTGGGAACGGCGTGGGTGCGGAGGATCTGCCCAGCTACGCCATTTACTCACCATTTCGTTTCGCATGCACCACCTATAGTTTCCTGATGCGCCGACAAGATCCGACCACTAGCAACACTACAGCATTTGCCTACGAGTTCATTTGTGGTGTAGCACACGGGTGTGCGCAATAACAACCGCAAACGGCGTAGCTGCCTTTAGCACTCTGGCTCGACGGGTCTTCGACGTCAAAGCTTTTAAAGCTAGATCCTCCTGTGCCTTTCGGCGGTCATGGCCTCCCCTCTCAGCGACGCCTCGACTGTGGCTGCCCAGCTCGTGGAAGCCGTGGCGGCGGCACGGCGCATGGGATATGCGCCAGTGGTTGGGCTGCTGACGGCAGAGCAGGTCGCAGACCTGAACGACGCAGCGGCGGCAGCCAACACCGTGCTCGAGGGCCGCACGGATGAGCCGGCGGAGGTGATCCACGACTTCGACCCCATGACCACCGGCGGACCTGCCAAGACGATGACCACGACTACCTCTGGGGCGGCGGTGGCATCGGCGGATGGTTCCACGGTGGCCTGGCACACACCTCTGAGGACGACGAAGAGGTCACGACCCGGCGACGACATCATTAGCCACCTCTCCCAAGGCTGTCTCGGCGACCCCGGATCCGCTGGCACCGGCGCCAAAGTCGCCCTACCCGATGTCGGGGACATCGACGTCGGCGCGCCGACTATTTCATACCGGCGGCCACGAAGGCGAAGGCTGCCTCGCTGGTCGCGGCGAGGGCAGACGCATGGGAAGTGGCTGCCCATGCCGGGCACGCCGGCGAGGGTACGACGAGCTCCTCCCGACCCTCAGTTGGTCTGCGCGGCGCTCAGTGTCCAGGCCAGGGCTTCTACATCGGCGGCTTCCTCACCGAGGTCTGCACCGGCGCCGCCCCACTTGCTGACCAGTCATCCTTACCTAGGTGGATGCTGTTTGCTACATTGTCTCTTGTCGCTTCTTTTCTTTTCCGTGTACAGCGAAGACGAACCTAGAGAATTCTATGCAGGTGGTCAATCCTTCATATCCGCACCAACCAAGACCCGCTTCGTTGGGTGATCAGTTTGGAAGGTGGATCACCCCCTGCTTATATAACGGCAGAATCCTCAGAGCCTACATCCTTAGAAACAGGAGGTGCGCGCACACACTGATGGATTCGGCCAAGAGTACGAGTGCAAGAGGAAAAAGAGAGGCATGTTGTTCATGTTGTAAAAGTTTGTCAGATTGTGGCAACCGTACAACTTGTTTGTATAATCTGGACACCACAGGGGGCCTGTCCTCACACTAATCTTGGCACCACAGGGGGCTGCCGAAAATTGCGCAGGTACATGACTGAGCGTCCTCAATCACTTCCCTTCCAGTGACCTAGCTTCGTTGGATCAGGTCAGTCACTGGAAGCCTGATCCCCCTGCAACATTTGAATCGTTGAGTGTCAAATGTCTGATTGTGTTGCAAAGCAAAATTGCAAGCAGTGTAGGAGTGACCCTCTGCTCCCATGTACTAGGGAGGTTCACACACACACAGCCCCAATGGGGCGTGTATGCTTCAAGTAGAGTGAAATGTCTGATCCATGGCAAAAAGTGATTGGCGCACTTTTCTCGCTGTCACTAGCGGTCGGGTGATTGTCGTGTTTCCTGATCCGAACATGTTCTAACAAAAAGCACCGGCTTCAGCGTGGCTAATGTGGTGACTGAATCCCAATCATGTAGTCGTCGACGGTTTTGTTCGAAGAAGAAAGCAGGGATTTTAGGAGTTCTGCCGGTGATCTCCTTGATGCGGTAGGAGAAGATCTTGCGAGCTTGTAGAACGTTGTCACCCAGACAAAGCACCACGTGTAAGAGCATGTGCTTGTCTCTGGTAATGCGGTCGGGTGGAATTTCAACAGTCATCCGAAAACATTGTCCTGCCATGGAGTACCATGGAAGGCCGGCCTCAGCAGCCTTTCGCTTTGTCATGTTTTGCTGCTACCAACTGACAAACGCTTGAACAAGGAATGCAAAACAACATGGACATGCTGTGTGCTCAGGAGACACAACCAAGTAGTGTCTTGCTGACACTCGCATGCGAAGGCTTTTTTGTCACGCTTAGCGGAACTTGCAGTCCTAATCCGTCCGGAGAATTAGGTTCCAACATCGAGATTGTTGGGACAGTCGCTGATGATCTTGAAATGGCATCTACATCTGAAACCTGCACGTACCAGCATTTTTGCACAAGCGGTTTTGGACCGCTTATGTTGAATGATAGGATGCACAACATCGTAGGGTGCAATCGAGTCAGAAGACCAAGGATCTCGCGATGGAGATCGGTGTGCGTCCTCAGCCACTTGTGGCGTTGCCGTAGGTGAAGCTGATGATGTTGAGTGCGAGGAGCGTGTCCTCTTTCGTCTTGTAGTATGTGGATGTTGGCGTTGTTGCTGTGTTGTGGAATGGGATGCTGGTGAAATGTTGCGTGTTTTCTTTGTTTTCACGATTGTTCTGTCCTTTTTGTCTTTGTTGTCTTTCTTCTTTTTTGTCTTCGTTGTGTGCTTTGTTTTTTGCTTGTGTGTGTGACTGACTGCATGGGAGGATGTGGCGGTGTCATCCTTCCTCAGAAAAGCATCAATCTCTTCGGATCCCCATAGGCTGCTGTCGTCGTCTTCTTCCATATGTGTGCGATCCTAAATATGTTACAACAACTGTAGTTCTGAGAAATGGCTGCGGAGTCACAACTGCATTGAAGCATGCGCATGGGCTGATCGTCGGAAAAGAGAGAGAGAGGGAAATACAAATAAACGTCACTGGAGCAACCTCACCGGCTGGCATGATCTTTCAACATGGTGCTCTTAATGCTGGCCCTCATCAGGGATGATGGGATTCACATCACAGCTTTGCTGTGTGGTTGTTGGCTGCCGGGGGCAGCAAGTATGCATCTAATTGTCAACTCAGCAATGCTGCTCACGGAGTTCTTGATCGCTTTCTCTTGTTGGATGTAGGAGTTGAAGTAGTGGAAACTGGCTCCTTTTGGGTAGGAGTCGTTGAAGTCGGGAGCTGATCAGGTTGCTCCGAATGCTTTCGTATCCACTCTGCAGATGCGATGAAGTACTCACGCCACCATGAAGAGCCGTTGGTGGCCCAGTGCCATCTCCATTGTGATGCCGTGGGAGAACGTGATCTGGTGCGGCGGTCCATGGTGCTAACACAACTGGTTGTTTTGCAAAATGCTGCGGGAAAGAGTGTATCAATCGCTGCATGCAAGTACATGTGAAGAAAGTGCACTGGCTGTCTCACTTGGCAAAAACAACGATTGTTGTTTTCACCGTCTGCTGCAATCACCCAATGGTGGTATAAATCATGTTTGATCACCTATTGTTGCGAAGCTTCGAGTCTTTCCACTCGTTGCTTTAGCTCTGTAATCTGCCGGGTTGTTTGCAGAATAAACTCGGCTAATTGATCGCGTAGAGCCTCATCACTGAATGTGGAAGGTTCACTTCCGGTTTCGGACTCATAATCCCGATGCTGTGTCAAAATCTCCATGAGGGCTGCGGAGAGAGCTTCACGTCGTGCCTCATCGACGGGTGGCGAATCTGTAATCACTGTATTTGGCGGAAGAGGTGAGTCGCTCATGGCTCGATGTCGGGATTCGAATAGGCGTCACTGTGAGGCAAAACTTCAGAAGGCAGAATTATGGTATTGTCTGAAAGCAACATGTGTTGAGTAGTGAGACTGATGCACTACCTGGCACTTTTTATACCGGCTTGCCTTGGTAGCAAATTCACGACCAATCAGGCGCGTTTTGCCTGATGAGGCTTTCAAGTACGTCGAGCTGCTGTTTGCACGAGGAAAGGATCGCCGTGGTAGCCTCGTGCTGAGTAGTCAACACCGTTGTAGCCTGTTGTATCAGGCGCTCGAGTTTAGCATTCGACTCAAGCAACGAATTGTGAAACTGCGTAATTGCTGCCATAATCTCAGCCGATGAATCTGGCTCAGGGTGTTGCGGAGGTGGAAATGGCGGAGTCGCCGGTGCAGCCACTGCTGCATCCTGCTGTTCTTCCGGATCTTGGTGTTGCTCTTGGTAGTCTTGAAAGTCTTCGTCTTCTGCAACCCGTAGAAACTGAGAGCGCAAAAGCGCCGGCTGTGGGTTGTGGCTGCCCACCGCAGGTTGCTCGTTGCGGCGTCGGCTGTGCTTGGAAATGGATGGTCGAGGACGGCCGCTCAGCGCTTTGTGGCTCGGCTGCAATCTGCCAGTCATGGCACTTTTATACATGATGGTGCCTCAGTTAACGCTGAAAATGGCTGCGGGAAACACTGTGTTAATACAAGGCTGCTCTGATGTTGCAAGAATTGCACGGCTCTGGATCCACGCACGGCAAACTGGCACAATGTTTTGCTTACAGCTGTTGATCAGTATAGCCGGCCGCGATGTAAAGATCGCGCATGGCTCGAATGGCTAATGTGGCCTCGCTGCATGGTGTTGTCACTCTGCGTACCATGCGTGTGCGGGCCTGAAAACTGCTGCGCAGTGTTGAAACAGAGGTGGCTGACTGTGGGTGCAAAATGTCCGCCTTGTGCAAAGTGCATTGATGCGTGAGGCTGCTGTGCTGAGGGCTTATTGCGAAGCCCAGGAAAATGTTTGCCGGTTCAGTTTCAAGCTGAACCGGTGGTTTGTAAAAAGATGCATCAGTGAGCTGTGCAAAAGGAGGCAGTCGGGTCAGCTGTGCAGGTAAAAGAAGGACGCGGTTGTCGACGTATCTAGTAGCAAAAAAGAAGGCTTGATCCTGCTTGGTGTGATCTGGAAAATGCTTGTGGTTCGTGAAAAGCTGTTTGTATGTGTGGTGCCAACACTGTTCCTCGACCGCAACAACAATGTTGCATAAGGCTGGGCTGCAGGGCGAGCCCATAGGTGCACCGCGAAATTGCTCAATAAGTGACGTACCAACAGTGAAGTAGTTGAGACGGAGCACTGCAATGATGAGTTGTGGTATATGTTGTAATTGAATGCATAGTTTGTTGCCTGAGGAGGCTTCTTGCTTCTTTTGTCTGCTTTTGCCCCTGTGGACTCGATGTGTGGGGTCTTTCTGTGAGTGGTCAATAAAGAATTTAGAAGAGTGTAGGGGGTTCTTTTCTCTGTACCATCGAACCATAATGCTGTAGGCTGAAAGAAATCGGCT